ACTCGATGTAGAGAAAAAAAAAAAAGAAAAAAAAAATAGAAAGAAAGAAAGAAAATTCCAGGCAAGGAAACGAAAGATTAAGACGGTCGATCTTCTGACATGCGTCTCTCGCACGGTTATGGCCGCGTACTACTTGCCGACGGGGCAAAAGCGGAAGCAAACCCGAGGCCGATCGTAACGAATTTTTATGCTCGTCTATATAACCGAGCTTTATCGTCGCGGGACCTATGGCCGCTCGGCTACGCCGCTAAAGTCTAAATAAGAACGTCTTTGCAGCGCGCGGAGTCTTGACAAATCCCTCGATAGTACCTTTTTACTTTCCACCGTTTTCCACGGGATCCTCTCTCTGTATCTCGTTTCCCCGTTTTACGCTCGTTGTCCCTTTCCGCTTCGTTTTGAAATTATCTCGGTCGATCCGCGCACGAAAGTAAAGAAATTGTCATTTCTACTGTTTTCAATAACGTTTCTCGTCGAGCCATGATGAAGCGAGAAAGGGAATGAACTTCAAGTTTTGTTCAAGTCTACACACGTGACCCTTTTCACGATTTTTTTCAAGTACTTGCGATAATTTGACAAATAAAATATTTTAAACAAATCAGTTTTGATTGGCTATACATTGCAACAAAAAAATTTCGTCTTTTAAGATGGTATACTTTATATTTTTAACTTATATACTAGAACGTTGAATTCGTCTAAATACGAGCTACAATACTATTAAATCAAAAATATAAAGTGCCAAAGAAACAAAGGTGACCTTGACAATTATCAGAAAAAAAATTGTTACACTGTATATTGATCAACTTTTGTTTAAAACATTTTTTTTTCTCGGATTATCGCAAGTACATAAAGAATCGTGAAAAGTGTTACGTGGAACACCTTGTATATAGAATTTTCAGTATTTTTAGTTCAAGTTCAATTGTTGGATGATTAACCTAGTAACTCGTTCAGTATTAAACAGAGACCAGTCACTGTGCTAGAATTAAATTCTCAAAATCTAAAAGAAGGGCTCATCTTGCGACAAAGAGTGTCACTGTCAACATACAGTAATCGGTATGTTCAGCATTCAGATTTGTCATTTCGGCAGTTTAGTGTCTTCTGAAAAATAGGTAGTTGTATTTAACGTCGTAGCCCCGAAACATTCTAAAAATATATAAATTACCAAGTATAATTTTGCAGAGATAATGTACGAGATAAAAATTCATTGTCACGGCAATTAAATACATTCGATGTATGTTATACTAGTTGCTTCTTTAATGGTTACTTTAGTGAATAATGAAATGCTTTTTGTTTCTCCGTAAATTTTACGACACGCGCTTTTCTTCTGGACCACAGCGCGTACTTACCTACTATTGAAGTGTATCATCGGTCTCTACCACGTTCCTCATCCGGTTGAAAAGAATTTTATTTGAGGAAGCACTGTCGTAACATCGTGATATACCACAGGAGATGTTCTCCTATTGTTAGTAAGATCAAGTTCGCTTCAAAATCACGGTTCAAAATGCAACTAGCATCGACGAATCTTTCAGACCGCGAAGGATGTGTACCATATTTATCGAACGCTGTTCTCGGTTTACAACGCCGTAAAATTGACAGAAAAGCCTGGAGGCCTTCCGTGGATCGTTCACAAGTTCGTCGACCTTTTTTTCCCTAGCCACTGGTTTCTCCTCCGCCATTATTATTTTGGGTATTTGGCTTTCGCGCGTGTGCCCCTCGGCTGGCTTTTATATTTATTTGTACCGGGCCGGTATTATTGAATTCCAATAATCCGCGACGCCGGCATCGTAATCCTCCTTCACGGTGACGATACGACGCCCTCTCCACGCTTCTCTTCTCGCTCTACGTTCTCTTTCTCTCTCTTTTTTTTTTCTTTCACTTTCACCCTTAGCCTTTTAGCCGCGGCGACGAAATTATCCGCAGGGGCGGCGATCTTCGACTTCGCTCTTCCGGACTCGTCGTCGACCTCCAATTCCGGGGGTGAGAAATCGCTTTCAATCGTCGTCAGCCTCTTCCTCGCTCGTGTCCGGTATTTACTTAACGACACTATGAAAATAGTTGATTTTTCTCGTCTTCTTCTTGTCGAATTAGGATAATTTTTTAATAAAATCGAGGGGGATGAGTATATATTTTAGTAAATTTTAGTAAAGAATTTAATTTTAAATTAAAAGTAAATTTTAGTAAAGAATTGTTAATAATTTGTTTCAATAATGTGTTGTAATTTGTATTTTTTTTTTTTTTTTCAATTTTTTTTCCACGTGCATTATCATGATACATATCTTCGTCTTACGAAGAATTGGATGGAGATGAGGATTAAACACTCGTCGGAGACTTTCCTCACTCTGGGTAACTGCAATTTCGCTCTTTGTCAATCCCCTTTGCTTCGAAATCATAGAATGCTGAGGCGGCTCCGATTAAAACCCGGTCTAGGGACATTAATTACGTATCTCAGGAAATTGTCTCTCGGCAAACAACCGAACGTTTTTCGTCCGGAGGGTAGTAAAAAAGAATCAGGCCGACGAAGGCACAATGCCTCTTCCACCAATCTTTCTCTCTCTCTCTTTCTCTCTTTATTTCTCCTTCCTTCTTCAGTTCTTCAGCCTCTAATCGAACTCGTAAAAAGTTGAAGTGCTTCTCCTACGGATCGATCCACACGTGATCGGTTTCCAGTTGCACCGGTTGGAAAAGTTTTACCAGACCAATCCAATTTATTTATTCGACCCGTTGAAACACGCGGCATCTCTCTTTCTTCTCTGTGATTTTCTATGATCAGCTGGATAGATGGATGGATGGATAAATGCTTGGTATTAGTCCGTTCTCTTCAACCTCGATGAATAGGATAAAGCAAGAGGCTCTTCTTTCTTTACTTTATCGAGTACCACGAAGCTTCGTGGATGAAACAGCCTCTTTTCTAACTGCCTCTTCGACGTTCCTTATGTTCATTCTGTCCTTCGAATAGGTATTCGACGAAATAAATAATATTGGTCGTAATAAAAATCAAAGTAAAGATGGATTTTTTATTCGCTTTAAGATTTCAACTTTTTCACCGTTTCATTTGTTAAATGCGCATAAAAACTTACGGTCAAATATAAATAAATTATTCGATATTAGCGTTACTAATTATAATAAATCAACAGTTGAGCAATCGTTCCTGTTCGATTCAATTATTTTTCAAATCTTAATAATAGAGCGAAATAGGAGAAAGACTTAAACCTCAAGTTACATGTTACAACGAGATCTTGCATCGCGTATTTGACAATAAAATTATGTTTGCTGTCTGCATTCAGAATAGTTTACGATCTCAGAGATACATACATGTATTCGTAATCGACAGCACTTTCTCTTAATACTATATCGTGTCAACGAAGTGTCTTGTCATTACTTTCTAACAAAGTATCCTTGCCGCCGAAAGCACGATAAAATGATACACTCGATGGCTCGCGAGCGTGCGAATAGATTTTTAATCGTGAGGGCGACGACGCGAGGCTAAGCTCTACTTTGCAGGAATTTCTAAGGTGCTGTAATGGGGGAATCAAGTTTTCGGTGATAGGGATCACCACAGTGTAATAAGGGATCGGACGAAGGACGTGGTGATCCTAAACCATCCGGCGTTCTAGGGTTAACTTCTACAGGGATCGAGCGAAGGATCTAAAGGCTCTAATAGCTGGAACTTCGTAGACGGAATTCTTCGAGCTATCAGCTTCGATCTCAATTTGGGAATAATCTACCAATAGAGCACTGACGCGCGTGGGCTTATCTCCTCGATAATCTCCAATCGTTTCATCCGTGTATCTCGAGAGGATTAACTCCTCTAACGATGTCTGAGGAGTGTATGATTAACATCTTTTAAAGATGTCTAAAGAGTTTTCACTTAGGAATTTTTATTATGTATAAAAACAATGTTAATTCGTATTGATATTTCTCTCTTTGATATTTTTTGTCATCATAAAATACTGAAGATTTTGTGTATTAATTCTAGAATTGGTGTGCAATCTGTATAAATGTATGAAGTACACGTTTTGAACGTACAAGGCGTGTAAGTTATCTTGTTACTTTGTTCGCTATTGTGATTTAATGTTTAGATACGTTCGTTGACAGATTTAGATCACGACTAACAAGCTAATAGTTTTCATCATAAATTACCACGTACATATGTATTTTAACTACAATTATCACATATATTGTATTTTAACATTAAATTGTTTCGGAAGTAACTTTTTTTTTTTAAATTAGCAAAATTAATTTTATTGTTTTGTTAAATTTAACATTCTGTTAAAAAGAATGAGATTTATAAATAATAAACTCTGCAAATGAAAGATATAAAGTGTTACCTCGAAGAATATTGGAGAAAAAAAGCTTCCAAAAGTATAATTACGTGCTCGTGGAAAGCGTATCCTGCTACAACAAGAAAATCCTCTTTCTCTATCTCGACATTAACCTCTCTGGCCACTCGTTATTCAGTCACCCGACGCGTTACACTTTACCGATCCTTTTCTTCTCATTTCCAGTCTGCGTGGATCACGGTTCCTTTCCTCCCTCTCCTCCTTTCGTCATTAAGGACGTGACATTTCGCAACCTTCTTTTCCTATCGAAGACCTTTTCTTCGCGTATTTCTCCCTCCCCTCTTTCTCTCTTTCTCGACTCTGCAGTCTTCTGCCTCGTAATTCCATTTCATGTCGAACATTTGCTCTTTGTTTCGCTGTTTGAACGTTATCGTAGGGTTCGCACGACTCGCGAAATGGATAAATCCCGCGTTGAAAATTATCGATCGTCGGTAACGATGCCTCTGTCGAGCGAGCCGGAAACGAGATTGCGCACGAAAACGCTTTTCATCCGGTTCGTTGAGACAGCCTTCGGGTTTTATGCTTTCATTCCTTGCCACCCCCTTTACGTGAAACCGATTTAATCGACTGTACGCTCTTTCGCGGTGCTCCTCTCTCGAGGGCGCGCTGTCGAAACTCTCACGGTACGACTCGCTGACGATTCTATTCTTCGGTTTGTTACAGATGGAAGACGAGGGAAATCACGGCAACGACGACACCAGATGCTTCATCCTGTCGACGCTGGCCGCGTTACAGTGGTCCAGGGTATCCTGCGTCCTTTGTCGAGCGCCAATGCTCGTCTTTGATAGGTACCCTTTGGTGGATGGCACATTTTTCCTGTCACCCAGACAGCACTCGACCGCCTGCGCCGAGGTAATTTGAAATTTCCTGCAATTTTAACATCGGCGACAATTCGTGTATTTTAATCTTGCTTTCGTTGTTTCACTGTGCGAAAGAAATAAAGAGAGTATAAAAAGTCGTTGTGAACCTGTAACAAATATTTATATTTTGTATTTACATTTTCACGTGACCTGTGAGCATTGTAATAACACTAGACTCTACTGGACACGGCCGTATCGATCGTTTTTCACTTATTTTGGTCTCTTCGTATTTTATGCCTTTGCCGAAATATTTAAAATCGTTATTTCTTTGTGATTTAACGTCAGTTTACCTGATGTGATATTCAAACATATTTCTGAGAATTGTTATAACGTTACAATATCGAACATTGATCGTTTTCTTTATTTTTTCTACTTATGTTAGTCCCTCCGTATTTTATGCCTTTGCCGAAATATTTAAAATCGTTATTTCTTTGTGATTTAACGTCAGTTTACCTGATGTGATTTTCAAACATATTTCTGAGAATTGTTATAACGTTACAATATCGAACATTGATTGTCTTTTTTATTTTTTCTACTTATGTTAATCTCTCCGTATTTTATGTCTTTGCCGAAATATTTAAAATCGTTATTTCTTTGTGATTTAACGTCAGTTTACCTGATGTGATTTTCAAACATATTTCTGAGAATTGTAATAACGTTACAATATCGAAGATTGATCGTTTTTTTATATTTTCTACTATGTTAGTCTCTCTATATTTTATGCCTTTGCCGAAATATTTAAAATCGTTATTTCTTTATGATTTAACGTCAGTTTACCTGATNNNNGTCAGTTTACCTGATGTGATTTTCAAACATATTTCTGAGAATTGTAATAACGTTACAATATCGAACATTGATCGTTTTTTTATATTTTCTACTATGTTAGTCTCTCTATATTTTATGCCTTTGCCGAAATATTTAAAATCGTTATTTCTTTATGATTTAACGTCAGTTTACCTGATATGATTTTCAAACACATGTCTGAGAATTGTTATAACGTTACAATATCGAACATTGATCGTCTTTTTTATTTTTTCTACTTATGTTAGTTTCTCCGTATTTTATGCCTTTGCCGAAATATTCAAAATCGTTATTTCTTTATGATTTAATGTCAATTTACATATATCTGAGAATTGTTATAACGTTACAATATCGAACATTGATCGCTTTTTTATGTTTTCTACTTATGTTAGTCTCTCTGTATTTTATGCCTTTGCCGAAATAGTTAAAATCGTTATTTCTTTGTGATTTAATGTCAGTTTACCTGATGTGATTTTCAAACATATTTCTGAGAATTGTAATAACGTTACAATATCGAACATTGATCGTTTTTTTGTATTTTCTACTATGTTAGTCTCTCTATATTTTATGCCTTTGTCGAAATATTTAAAATCGTTATTTCTTTGTGTTTTAACGTCAGTTTACCTGATGTGATTTTCAAACATATTTCTGAGAATTGTTATAACGTTACAATATCGAACATTGATTGTCTTTTTTATTTTTTCTACTTATGTTAATCTCTCCGTATTTTATGTCTTTGCCGAAATATTTAAAATCGTTATTTCTTTATGATTTAATGTCAATTTACAGATATCTGAGAATTGTTATAACGTTACAATATCGAACATTGATCGTTTTTTAATTATTTTCTACTTATGTTAGTCTCTCTGTATTTTATGCCTTTGCCGAAATAATTATCGTTATTTCTTTGTGATTTAATATCAGTTTACCTGATGTGTGAATCTCACGAATTTCAAATAAATTTCTGATAATTGCAATAAACGTTACAATATCGAGCATCGATCGTTTTTTACTTTCTCGTCAGTACGTTGATCCTTCCGTGTTTCATATCTTTTCTGAAACATTATTGCTAGTTTATGATGTGTAGAACTTCAAATAAATTCCAGCGACCGAGAAACTTGACGATAAATCGATGCCCTGGTGGATTATTGTTTCAGGTTAAGGTGGAAGGTCGCACGCAATTCTTGTCAGCAGTGTGCATGAGTTGCCTGGAGGGCAGCGGTGGCCAGCCGGTGCGTTGTCGTTATTGTACTCAACCATGGGACGGCTCTAGCTTAGTCCTTGGAACAATGTACAGCTACGATATCTTCGCTGCCATGCCCTGTTGCACCGAACGACTTAAGGTAAGTCGTTCATTTTCTCATGTAGGAACAATCACAGGAAAATGGAGGAAATTGTTTTAAATGGCAAATCTCACAGAAAATACTACCCTAACGTTTGGTATATTTTTCCATATTACATTATGTACATTTTGCATTTAAAAATTTCCGATACGTGCAGAAAAATTCGAATCAATATTGGAAGATTTACGTCTAGATTTGACATGTGTGTAATCTTGCATTTTAGAATTTTCTGCACGCGCGTGAAAGACCATTATTTTATTGATAGTTTAAGAGTTTACAATGTATTAAATATATTATCAACGTTTGAAATATTAAGTTAATTCATCACAGATAGCAGTATCCGAGTCGTACGTAAGATATTTATCGAAATTATTTGTACGTAAGATATTATCGAAAAGAATTTGAACCATATACATCACGTATTAGTGATGTAATTTTATCGATGCATTGGAAATACCAGTATTCCAAAAATTAACGCACGAATTATCAGCGGAAGAGTTAACGTTGGAAAAAAAAAAAAAGAAATGCCCATGTCTCTGTTACAGTGCAACAGCTGCCAGAAACCGCTGATCTATCCGCACCAGCGGCTCAACTTCTACTCGGACTACAGCCGCGTATTCGCGTGCCCTCATTGCCGAGCGGTGGACGCCCATTTCGTAAAACCGCTCTCAGTCTGCTTCACCCGCGAGCAGTTTCAGCTTTATAGCCAGTGGCCGTAACCATTAGGGAACTTAGCTACCCGGCGTCTAGGCACCGCGACTGATCCGTGTCCCCTCTTCTTCGACCCACTGATCTCCCTGCTCCGGGCCACCTTGCTCTAGAATCCTCCAAACACACATCTTTCTTTGCAAACGATCGTCATTTACGTCAAGAAGATAACGATGATGATGATGATGATGATGATGATGATGATGATGATGAAGAAGAAAAATGAAAAACGGAGAAGAAGAAATATATAAAAGAAAAAAAAAAGATATGATGGAAGAGAGCGAAAAAAGCATGAGAAATATCAGGCTCGACACTTCGCTCCTACACACTCATTTATATTGGTTTTGTCTCGGGATCAACTATATTCGTTTTGTTTGTTTTTTTTTTTTTTGCCTCTTTTTTATTTTTATGAATGATCGACTTTTATTGGTTTTTGTCGTTCGAGCGCGTTCCGATTTTTGGAGGTTGATGTTAACGAGATTAACACTTTTGTTTTACAATTTTCTTGCAGTCTGTTACGCCCACGTGATGTAAGTAATGTAGTTTATTAATCTTCGACGTTAAGGATTTATTCGTCCCTCGTTCTTTCCACTTCAATTCGTTCCTTAATGGCGAAGAGTTGAGGTAATGAAAAGATAAGTGGTTATATTCGAAAGTTGCATACTAATTTTACTTTTGTATATCACCTACACTTATAAATCACTTATTCATAGTAGAACAATATAATTCTTCATTAAAAAAAAAAAAAAAAAAATGTAAAATTGACAGAAGGAACGAACGAGGAAGATTTATTAATCATCAATTTCAAGAGTTAAAATTCCACTACATTGCAATTTATTTATTTCCTTTGAAAGTGACTCGGATACGACAGAATGCTACGAGTGATTTGATCAAAATTTCAACATTTCGTTTGTACTTTAAAGTAACAGAAGTATCGAAATACGTCTCCAATGTCGGAAACGCTCGATCGACGTGTTTCTCTATATTAACGAAGCGAATCAAGAACGAGCTTTCTCTTATGTTAACGAACGGATCTTGCCGGAATTTGTCGACTAATTCGAGATATGTGTGTGTATATATCGAGAGTGTGAAGCGCGCGAGTGTCAGGTCCCCTGCGAGCTCCCGTAGCAGCGATAACGTTTAAGATTTTCTTATTTTTTTTTTTTTTTTTTTTCTTTCTCAGTGTCGATAGTAGGATTTATCTTTGTTAATTCAACGCGAGGGACGAGGGAAAAAGCAGAACGGGGCGGAATTTGTGTCGGATCGATCGGCACGAGGATAGATCGACGGCGCGCTCGACGACGACGTATCGATCAATTCGATTGGGCTTCAACTCCTGCCGGGAATTCGAGCCAAGGATTATCTTCAGTATTATGGTCGAGGGCAAACAGCAGATCCCAAGAGCGTGGGAATCGCAATCCTTTTAAGTTGGCGAAACATCGCGCATTCAGTGAAAAAATATCGCGCGAATTTCTTTGGTTTTTCTGCTTTTCTTTTCCTCTCTTTCGTCATTTTATTATTCGCGTGATTCCGAGTTGGAAAGAGGAAATTAGTCACATTGAAACGCGAGGGTTCAGTTCACGTGTGTACGAAAGGAAGCTAGTTGTTCGGAAAAAGTCGAGTCGAATTAGGTTTAAAAAAGAAGAAAAAAAGATCGAACGAGGTCGATACATCATCGTCTACGAGTCGCGAACATTCGCGTAGGCTCGTCCCTCGCGTTCCATAGTCGAATTGCGTTAACTGGAAGGATAAGAGAAAAATAGAACGAAAAATTATTGCAGAGATAGGTTTAGATATCGAGATTTACCAGCAGAATGGTAAAAATATAAAAAAAAAAGAACAAAAGCAAAAAAAAAGAAAAAAAAAATGGTAAGACTTCCCTGTATGTTACGTAGGCATGTGTAAGGAACAAACGCGAAATGATTAACGATTGAAAAAGGAAAAAAAAAACCAAGAAAAAAGAAAAAGGAAAAAAGAGTAATAAAATATGGTCACTTGGAAACGAAAAGGGGGAAGAGATATGAAACTATCGTTTGTTACTTAGATGATCGAGAACGTTGTTTTTTTTACATTTTATTAGTTTATACGTTTACGGCGGCCATGTTGATTTTGTTTAAGGATCTACGACTCATTTCGATGGGTTTCACGTTGATCGGCAGGGCGCCCAGCGATCTTCCACCCTCGAGAGACGATTTTCGTTCCTTCGATTCCTGCTTTCTCGGTAATTCGGAACACACGCCTGACGAAGGGTAAGGGGAAGAAGCGAAAAAAATATCGATCAGTTTCATTTACAATAACAATGGCAATTGTAATATTTAATATTCTTCGCAAAATAATGTTAACGATTTAATATACCTTGGTTGGAGCAAGGAATTTCTTTGTATAGTCGCCATTTTGCTTAATCCAACAGTTTATACGATATTAATTATTAATCATTCATTTTTGGGATGGAATCGAGATATATTCTTGCGCTGATAACTAGTTCACGGGCCATATAATAACTCGTCCTCTTTTCGAATTCATCGGTATATCACTGGATAGAAATTACTAAGGAGTAATAAATTTATTGTTCGTTCAATATACTTAAAACTGAGAAAACATTGCAATTTTGGGCCAAATGTTCTCGACGTGCGTAACACGTCATTCCAGCGCAAGAGATTAATGGACGATAGTTTTTAGCAGACTGAAGTTAAAGTCTTCTCGACACTAGAACTACTACCAAGTACTGAAGCATAGAATTTTGATCAGAGATATTAAAGTGAAAAAAAAATAGAAATACAATAGAACACACAAACTTTCATTCGTGTATTTTATAAAAAAATCATTTAAGCCTCTAAAAATACACTATTTTGCATCTGCAATGTATCTAGAAAAAAATTACGAATTAGTCATTTTGATCACTCGGCAGTTGTAGTGTTAAGAAAGATTTTTTTACGGTGACATATTCCTTGTTTCTTCTCCTTACTTGTCGGATGGGAGCAAGCTTCGTTTACTCTCCACCGAATCCCTGATACCTTCTTTTCCTCCCTCCTTCGTGTCAATTTCATAGCGTTGGAAATACTCTCGAAGGGTGGTCGAACGCCACGGGCGTTCGAAATAGCCAGTGTAAATACGTAATTAAGTGGGAGAGCACGAGAGGAAGGAAGAAAAAATGAGAGGAAGATAGAGATAGAGAGAGAGAGAGAGAGAGAGAGAGAGAGAGAGAGAGAGAGAGAGAGAGAGAGAGAGAGAGAGAGAGAGAGAGAAGAACCTTGCACCACACGCAGGGTTGTTCGTGAAAGATTGCGAAAAAGAAAGAGAAGTGAGGATGGGATGAAAGAGTGAGAGAAGAGAGAGGAGAAGAGAAGGAAATGAAAAAAAAAATCTTCGTTCTTTTTTTTTCTGGCGATGCTGGTCGTTGCTGTCCATCAATAGCGGCCGTCCCACAAACAGAAGACCGCCCACCGTTTTCCCCAAGGTAGTAGTTATAGTCGATCGTGTACCTTCTTTACGTTACTTCGATTTAAAGGAAAAATAACAAAAAAAAGAAAAAAAGTATACTTAATCCATTTGTACGCCGGGAAGTATATTTAGGAGAGTTCTTACATATAAATATATATATATGTATATATATATATATATATATAAATATATATGTGTATATATATATATATATATATATATATATATATATATGTCCCTTAGAAGTTTTTAGCGAGGACCCGTGATGAACCCCGTTGCCCTGGCGCCTCTCAACGAATCAGTTTCTTCACTCTCGCCTTCGTGCTTGCTCCACTTCGACAGGCGAGCGAAGTTTCTCCGAGTGGTAGTATAGTTTGTGACGTATGGAAAAGAAAGAGGGGTTGTTCCGTCTGTTGCGTGGCGTTTTCCTTTCTCTTTCCTTCGTTCGTTTCGAGAAACGTTCCCGAAGGCTGTCACGGTGGCGGGCTTCATTTGAACCGAGCACACGCTATAACGACGATTTATAATCTACGAGGACAACACTTTAGCGAGAGTGAGAGTGCTACGTGGATCAGCGTGAATGAAAGAGTGAGAGAGGAGAGGGTGGTGTACAAATTGGCTGGAGACATTTCCTGCGTGAGTGAGTGAGAAAGAACCGAGAGACATGGAGGGATTAAAAAGGGAAAAAAGTAAAAAAAAGGAGAAGAAGGAGAAGGGAATAAAGAATATCCGTACAAGCGGACGCGCTAGTTCTCTCTGAACGTGTACACGCGCGTTTAGGGGTGAAATAAGTATATTACGTCCGCGTGGAACCCTCTTTTTTTTTCTTTTGGGTAGCCAATACGACGAGCTGAAGAGTGGGTTTTCATCAACCGTCACCCGATTTTTGCGAAACCGTGTTTCTCGTTTCAGTTTCTTTTTTTTTTTATCATTCGCTTTCGTCGCGTCGAAAGCATACCCTTTTGCGTCCAAGTAACTGAGAGACCCAGACGTACACATACGTACACACATATAAACAGGACAAACAAACAGAGAAGTTGGAGTTTGGAGGATCGTCTCTCGTTACGGTTTTCTCAGAGTGCCAAACAGAGGAGAGAAAGATTGAGAGAGAGAGAGAGAGAGAGCATGCGAATGGAAGAGAAACTTCGAGTCTGCAAGACTTTTCTCTAAATATTTATCGGTTGCTCGGAACGCGCGATTCCTTGCCTTTTCATCCGGTTGTCAAGGGTACGTACACTTTCATTCACACAAGTCACGGGATAATTGCTGAATTATTGAACAAAATCCTCGTACCGAGAACTCTTGATATTAAAAAATAATGAGAGATGCATCTATTCGATTTTAATCAAAGGATCGAAGTATTAATTAATGGCTCCTCAACAAATTTCCGAATCGGACGATTTGAAAAAAAAAAAAAAAAAAAAAAGATTAAAGAAAAAAATTTGCAGTAATATTTACTCAATCATACTTTCTAGGTACGTAATCCAAGAATTTTTCAAATACTTCTTTATTTTTAGAATTTTGCATGAAATTCCTTCGTTTTGTTCTAAGTGCGCCAAGTGTTCCGTGACTTTACAGACTCTAGCGTACACACAAACACACACACGATCGCAAAATTGATCGAAACGTCAACCCCCAATCACACGTATGCAGAAGTTTCGCGCTCGGGTTTAGTTAGGAGTTAGGAATAATCTCGGAAGTTGTGTGGTGGTTGATGTAAAATTCGTTTTTATTATCTTCTTTCGTTCGTGCCCGGTGATTCTAGACATACGTGTAACTAAAATAACAAAAACGCTATGGGCGTGCGTGCGATTCGTTCCTCGGTTCAGTTCAAACGCGAAGAAGCTCCGGGAGAAGATGTTTCAAGGGAATTCCTTCGTTCCTGCGTGCCATTCGCGCGCATATTTCGAACGTGGAAAGCGCGGAAATGAAGAAGAAACTTCTCTTTCGCCACGAAGCGCGCGAGCGCGCCTACTTTTTGTACTCCCTACCGTTTTCAATTTTCGCTATGTGGTTCGCGTCGTTGAACGCTATAAATAAAGGTGCCACCGCGATACGTATATTCGGGACATTCATCGGCTCACTTTTAGTTCCTATCGCGACTCGATCGATGGAGGAACGATGGAAACCATCGTGGAATGTTCCTCCTTGCGAGATGTCGATCGCAACGCGCCGCCCATTTCGAAATCTGTTCGTCGTCTCCGAGATTTCTTCTGGACACATAAATTGTATTTACAATTAAGCACTTAAAATTAAATAATTATAATTATAATATAATATAATAATTATGTAATTATAATATAATTTATATAATAATAATTATATATAATATATAATACAATATATATTATAATAATTATATCATAATTATATTATAATAATTATATAATTATAATTTATTTAATAATATAATTTACATAATAATAATTACAATTATAATAATTAAACTTCCATAATTTGGTTCACGGATCAAGATTGCTTTCTCAGTTAGTTTCACATTTTGGAATCCTCGGCTGTTTTACCTGAGAAGGATACGCGTTCTTTATATCACAATTGAAGAATCGAGGGAGAGAATATAAATCAACTCTGTGAATGATTCATCGCCTAAAACAAATATTCAGTTTTTACGGATTAATTTCTTTCTATCATCCGATATATTCATTTCTTCGCCGAAGAAACCGCCGAGTCGACGAACGAATCGAATGGAGCGCGACTTTCGAAGGCACCTGACCTCGATTTGTAAAAAAAGGAAAAAGAAAAAAAAGAAGAAATTAGTCTCGACGCGTCGGCGTACCTATATCTAGAGTCGTTAAGGGGGAAACTTGAGGGAAGAGAGCGCAAGAAGGAAATTTTAAATCCTTCGGCTTCCAAACGAGTGAGACGATTAAAGGTGGGTGGGGGAAGGAAAGGTTAATAAAGAGCGCGATTAGTTTCCGTACCGGTGCGTCGACGCATAACGACGCGCTCGCTCTGTAGTTGCTTAAGGCTAAACATTAAAGGCTAGGCTAATCCTTTTCTTTTCTTTTCTTTTCTTTTTTTTTTTTTTTTTTTCCTTCATTCTCCGAGTAAAAGTCTCGCTGTAACGATTTTCTACTTTCGCTGACGCTCGACGAGACTCGCTTGGCCGGCGAACGGAGGGCGGTTTCAGGTAGGGAGGAAACGACAGGCATACGCGCATCGCGAGACGATCACCGTCTCCTCGACGAAACCTGTACGCAATTTTTTCACCCCGCCCCTCGTTGACGAATCTACCTCGATCCACGCGACCCCGGGAGGAGAGAGAATTTTCTTTCTTTCTTTCTTTCTTTCTTTTTTTTCCCCCTCGTTTCTTTTTTTCTTTTTTTTTTTTTTCTTTCGATCGCGAAGGCAACGATCGTTTCCTTTTCTCTCGCGACCGACCGCGGGATGCAATAATTCACGGAAGCCCGAGAAGATGAAAGGAACAACCCTGCTCGCCTCCTGACGAAGCGTTGTTTCTCGCTCGCGATTGGTCGAATCCTCCCCCGTGATCCGTTCGCGCTGCCAC